GTATATATCTACCATGTCGAAGTAGGTACATGAAAATGAAACGTACATGCCCTTTCCCATATTATGTAGGCCAACATGTACATACCTTATTCTTCTTCGTCGAGTCTGGTGCTTGCCAGTAATTTCCCTCTTCATCAGCCACGACATCGTCCACTAAAGGGGCCTCTTCCTAAACTTCCTCTTCTACCGGATTCTCTACAATCTTCTTCCCTTTGTTCTTTGCCTTTCTTTCATGATTTCCACTTTTCACAGCGGTAGGTGCTTGAACAACAGGCGGATCAGGTCTTACATTGATTTCCTGCCTTGGAGGGGATATGATGCGGGGTTCCGGTGGAAGCATATGATACGGTCCATGTGCTGTCACTCAACATCCGTCGATTCCAAGTATTTTGTAACCTTGGACTGCATAAAGTCTATCATTAGATCCAAATTGAGAACAAATATCAAACATATGACCATTTGAAAATTACTTACCCGCGTGTTATCAAATACACCACTCGCCAACACACGAAACTTGCAAGAATAAGTGCATGACCATCTGAGAAGTCAAGGAATGACGTCATCGCTCAACCTGCTACTCGTATTACTCAACGTCGAGATAATCTCGTATGCCCATACCTAAATCCCATGAAGTTAAATTAATGATGTAGTTAAATAATCAATTTAATTCTATAGTCGACTTAAACCTCACTAACCTAAAACGCGTACGGAAATCCATAGAGACTGTCTCAACGTGTGCAGGGTCCTCCCTCGCCTTCTATTGGTATGCTGGTAGTTTATTTGTCAGAGCATTCTTGAGGCTCAAAAGTGTCTTTTAAAAAATCATCGTACTCTAGTCATAGTTGCAGACAATCTCTCACCGATCAACAATACCTAATAGGTTCGTATCCATGAACTACTTCATCTCCTTATCCATCATGGCAAGCTTTTTGAAGTACACTATGACAACCTTGACAAAATGCTTGTCGTTTTCAAAATTATGCTCCATAAAAATCTCCTCAAACTCCTTACACTTAACTCTCACACTGTCTTTAAAATACCATGCTTTAAGACTTCGGCCAGGAATATCCTTATCTACTCTATTCATCCTATGTTTAAGCTCGATGATTAGGTCAAATCTCGCTTATCGAAAGACACCCTTTTCCCAAATAGGTCAAAGCTAATGACATTTTGCCTAGGCTCATCAACCTCTCTCAACAACAAGTGATGGATCAATGTGTTGGGTGTGTTGCCCTAAACTCGTTGTTTGTATTTATGTAAAAACAAAATTTATATTCAATCAATTTGTTGTTGAATTCATTGCATTGCATTGTCTAAATCCAATAAACTAAACATCTAAGGTTATTATCATTTAACTAGGACATTATATATACTTGGAATATATTTGATATACTCTCGATATATAAGTGGATAATGACCCGGGAATAACCTAAAGGGTCTACAGTATATGGATAAGGCTGGGTACCTTATCCTGGCAACACTATGGATACGACCAATTTTGTAAATGTTATAGACGACCCGGTCTAGGTCGTTCGTGTGGAGACATGCGAGTGGAAGTATCATATACAATGAGTTTGTATAAGACTGGACCACGAAATAGCCAATCTTTATATGTAACGCCGTTGACTAACAAATTGCTATTTCATAGGATGACCAGTCAACTCATTCTCATTCTTGAGTGAGTTATGGACTCCTGCTCGTTAGGGCTCGTCCTTTGATCTGTATGGGTGAGAGTGGCCCGAGTCGTCGAATCAATATTTCTACCATTTTGGGGACGAGACTGAGTGGGAAGCTAGAAACATAACTTCACGAGATGAAATTCACTCCTCCCCGACTTTAGGGGAGTAGATGAGTGTTCTCTTAAATGTTGACTCCAGGACTTGAACAAGGGGCCCCACCCTTTCACTAGCCTGAGAGAGACTTCCTGTTATTTGTTGGACCATAATCGGATTGTTCATTAGAGGAGAAGTGGTATTTAAGGAGTAAGATGTGACTCAGGGGTAAAACGGTAATTTGACCCAGCTTGAGTTATGAGCAGTCGTGAAGAATTGACTTGCCATTAATGGTCATATATCCATTGACATGAAAACATTCTACAGTGAGAAGAGTGCAGCTGCGGGTCTTTAGTGGAGTGACTTGTAGTTAATAAATGTTGATTAACTCGGTTAATGAGTTTGACCGATTAATCTCGTATCGTTGGAGCTTCTGATCTGTAGGTCCATTAGGTCCCCTTGCTAGCTCACAACAGGTAAAACGAGGATCAAGTTTTTGGAAAATTTTGAAATGTTCAAATTTCTAAACTAAAACTATATATTATGGGAAATTTTTTTTGAATGAGATTAAAATAAAATCAATATGAATAGGATTCATATTAAAACTATAGTTTAAAAATAATGTGCATAAGATGTACATTACAACTATAGATTATACAAAAGAAATGCTTTTAGAATATGATTCTATTTTGATAATAAATAATTAAGTGTTAATTATTTATTTAATTAATATATATATATATATATATCTATAATTAAACAATTATTAATTAGATTAATAATTAATTAATATGATTAATTAATTGATTATATATATATATATTAATTATTAATATTATTATAATAATATTAAAACACTCCCCTGCAATTTTGCAGGGGAGTGGGGAAATTTAATGACTTGGGAAGTTACCCCATGTCATTGTGGTTTTCTTTTTTGCAAAATAGTTCTGCAAAACGAGAATTTTTTTCCCCTAACATTTTGCTCTCTCAAGCTCTCTCTCTCAATTCTCTCTGGGTTTCCAATCATTGTTACCACAAGCAAAGATCCTCACCAGAGACGTAGCAAAGAAGATCGTTTGGTGGTGTCAATTTGTTTTGTTGAAGAACTGTTCATCAAAGGTATACCAAATTCTCCTGTATTTTCCTTTTTCATTTGTGGGTTTTGTTCCTCAAAATTCAAGAACAAAGATCCATGTTTCCGCTGCGGGATTTACGTCCGTTCACAATGAACCTTTAAATATAACGTCCATGTCCAAAATAAGACCGAAACATGTTTGCTTAAACATGTCTAATAGGGTTGGGGTTAACCTAGCCTTAAGCGTATAAGTGGTTTTATCTATATGGGCAAGGTTTGTTAATGAGGTTGAAACCAGTCATTACGATTTAGCTTAAGTTTCATATCCATCATATCTCCTAGGCAGAGTTAAAATAAGAAAATTAAATAAAAACTATAGATTAAACAAAGAAAATTAAAAAAAAGGCTTCGTGGGTGTCCTAATGACCTTCTGCCAAGCATCTCGGTTCGAGACGGACTGAGATTCGAACTAGGATGATTGGCAGAAGGGTATGCTAACCTTCTGCCCTTCATCTCGGTCCGAGTCGGACCGTGATAGGGGCCGAGATGCAAGGCAGGAAGAAATCCATTCTTCTGCCTTTCATCTCGGTCCGACATAGACCAGGACAAGGTCCGAGATAAAAGGCAGAAGCACATAGTGATCCTGGAACGTACCCGGATTCAATATTCTTCAATCTCGAACCGATATGCACCGAGATTGAATCCGAGAAACGATTCTTGGATTTTCGATATCTTGAACCCTAAAATCTAACGTAAAACTAATTGGTTTCTTCAGATATTGCCAAAAATGGAAACCTAACACCAAGTAAAAAAAAATTTCGAAGATTAGAGCCCACTAACCTCGCTTCCTCTGAGATCCAAGACGATGATGATGTTGGATGGCGATGGTGGATACGAAACGTTGGAACAGATGGAATAGAATGTACACTATGGATGGAGGGAGACGAAGGGTCCGAGAATAGGGAGGGAACAGAGAGAGCGAAGGGTCCGAGAATATGTGTTTAGGGTTTTACTTTTGAGAATGAAGGGAGATGAAGGGTCAGAGAATAGGGAGGGTTGGGAAGATGTGAAATTCGAAACCGGAGGGTAATAGAGTAATTTCGCTTTTAACAATTTTGAAAGGTTTCATAAATCAGGGTGTCACAAAGTAAGTTTCTTCAAAAGGGGTCATAACTCCAATTTCAATTATGGAGGGGTCATATATTCAAATTTTCCATTGTTTTACTTCCCGAGTAAGATGAGAGGAGTAGGAATTCTCAATTGTGATGTCTTACAATAGTATAATAATACTTTTAAAACATTTTTTTTCTTTTTTTCTTATTTTTAATAGAAAAATAAAAGTTAAAGGCTACCAAATAAGAGCACAGCAGTAAAAGTTGTGTTCATTGCCAGAGTTTTAATGGTTTTTATTTGTTGACGTTTTCGAACTATTGCACAATTAATTCTACATTCTCATGTTTTTTTTTTTCAATTTCAAATTAATTGATATTTTGGTCATCTACCTTTACTATTTAGGCCAAATCAGGTACCATAGATGTGATTTACCAATCCTAATTTTTAAATTAGTTTCACAATTTCACAATTACTCAATTTTTCGAACTCACACCTACTTATTGTGATATATATGTCAATTACCACTAAGCTGCACTATGAATAAATCCCAAAAATAACAATAAAAAATGAGAGTAAAAAAGACGTGGGGAGCGATGCTGGAATTAAATTTCTTATATTAAATAATGTAGAACGAAAAAATCAATTTTATATCTAATATTAGTTAACTTTAATAAATCTCCGAGAACCTATCAAAATTCAAAGTGTACAAAAATCGATTAGACACTCAGAGATGTATTTCGATACAAAATCGAAATTAATTTTAGAAATTGAATAGATTTTTTTTAAGTCATGAGACCTATAGAAATAAAAGTTGAAGATAAATTCGAGAGTCTAAAAAAAATCTTAAATTCGATAAATCGTCATAAATTTAATGGATAAATATGGAAAAGAAAATTGTAAACACGTAATATGGAAACTTTTTTTTTTTCTTTGAGAACTAATATGGAAACCCTAATCTACTTCCAAAAATAATATATATATATATATATATATATATACATGTATGGAAAAGCTAATCTCAGAATGTCAAAAACAAAAGATAAAAACCTAATATCTGTGGGTTTTTGGAGTTATAAATAGAAAAAGCTGTTTTGTTGGAATTGATTGGGAAGAGTAAGATGATGAATTCAAAGAAGAGGAAAAGCATGGAGAATAAGGGCAGGGAGATTCCAGCTGAGTTGATTTGGTTAATATTTTCGAAACTGCCCTTCGTGAATCTGCCGAGTTGCAGGCTGGTTTGTAAAGCATGGAGCGATGTAGTCTTAACTGGTAAGCTTCATCCTTCCATCTCAATTTCCAACCACCTGTTCTTGGCCCATGATTATCTGTTTGATCCCAATCTCCAATGCCTACACTTGGATCCTAAGTATTTGGGAGGGATGTGTAATGTTGCCAAATTCAGGTTCCATCCTGATTTTGTTTTGTCCTCCACTTATATCTCAATTGTCAATTTCTGCAACGGACTCCTGTGTTGTAAATTTGAGCATAGAACAACCAAAATGCCACCTTATGAAAATGTTGAAGTTTGCATTTTAAACCCGATGACAAATGAGTACTTCAAACCTCCCATCTCGAATGCGTCTAAGGATAGATGGTATTATTGTTACAGATTTGGGTTTAGTCCTAAGACGAAGCAGTACAAATTAGTAAGATTTTTCTATTCATGTGATAAAGCTGCTATCTTATTGGAGACTTTCACATTTGGCACAAATTGCAAATCGACCTATGTCAGCTGTGTGCCTTCTTCCATGTCAATGGAAGAGCACAGTGTTTACTTTAATGGAAGCCTGTATTGGATTGGAAAGCAACTAAAACATCCTACAAATGTATTGTACCGCTTGGATATAGAAAAGGAGGAATTGCAGGAAATTTCTTTTCCCCAATCTGGCGGTTGTTGTTCTATTGGAGTCTTTAATGGCAGTCTCTATTTAACTTTAGCCCAGGGACGATACCATGCATACCATGTGTGGAAGATGGAAGAAGATTTTTCGTGGACTAAAGCATTTGATGTGCTCCTACCAAAAATATATGTGCATCATCGACGACTATATGACAGTCAACTTCAACTTATTAGAGCTTGTGATGATGGAAAGATCCTGTGTCTTATCTCTGGACTCGATTTAATCTTGTATAACTCTAAGACGCAGCGGATGGAGTCATTGACATATCAACATCTTAATATTAAGAAAGTTCATCGAATTGACTCATTCAATTTTGATTCTCTCCACAAGATTTTAACAGGGGATGCTTGAAGAAGTATGGTGTTTAGTTTATTTTATTTATTTTTTATATTTTTTAAGATTAGATGAAATTGTTCTAACTTACGTAGGGGTAAGTTTACACTTGTTTTTGTAAAATGATTATAAAGGAAATAAAAGGGTAAATTAGCTCTAGTTTTTCTGTTTTGGTTCACATTGTCCCATTCAACGATCATCTAACCTGCCCCATGATCGATGCTTTGATTTTGAATGAATTTGGAATCCAATCCAATCCAATCCAAGTTCTTCTTCCCTGATTATCTCAGGGATATTTCTACTTACTAATTACTTTTTATGCTTTATGCAATGGTTTGTGAATAACCAGGTGGAGTAATTTCAATGTTCAATCATCTAAAATTAAGTGATCATTCATCGTATGCTTAGTAGTTAGTAATATGCTTTAGTGAGCTGCATAAATTCTGGTTGTTTCATATCTCGATGAGATGATGGCATTGTTAGACTGCTATTTGCTGCTGCCAACTAAATTTGTATTGTGATCGATTTTTTCAGAATATACATACTACACGGAGGAGGTCTGTCTCCTTTTTGTTGTTGTTGTTGTTATACTATAACTTGAAGTATTACCCAATAGAACTAATTACATTTTGATGAAAAAATGGTTTGTATACCTTTAGATGGATGGAATGGAAGAAGTTTGTTGGAAGAGTGAAATGCTGTTGGGAAGAGGAATTAAAATGAGTGAGTGAGCTTGAGGAAGAACATTCACTAAAATTGCATTTTATGCCTCTGTAAGAAATGACTCATGCTTTCATGTTTGATCAAAACAGCCTCTCTGTTTATATTATTAGGAGTTGTAATCAGCAGTAGCAGTAGACTAGTGAGTATTTATGGGCTGCAAATTTTGGTTTTGTTCACATCTCCATTCCCATTAGCTATTTTTGGTTCAAGTTCAAACATTAAAATTTGATTAAGACCCACATCCCTTACTTGAGTAGATCTGTTGGCTGCCTGATTCCCCAAATTTAGAACTGTTGTTCATGGAGGTTTGCTTTTCTTCTCTTTTGGATGTCAACAGGAATGCAATACAAGCTGGGTTCCATATAGAGGATGAGGATGCAAGCAATATTATAGCTGATAAAATGATATGGAATAGCCTCTACTCAATTATATTGAAATGACACAATATTTCTCTAGTGGAAATATTTGTGGAGAAGCAAGGGCACCTTGCGTCCTTGACAGGAATATTCACGTGTTATCCATCGACTACGCGTTTCGTCCTAATCTTAGGTCCCGACTCACTCTTAGTGGACGAATCCTGCAGAGGAACCCTTAGGTAAGTTACTATTATCAACATAGTGTATGATACTAAATATAGTTAGAACAATCACATTAATAGTTGCGTTGACAGTTTATCTTTGAGCTCAAATTTGTATTGCTAGTTTACGGTGACGGTTACTTTTATAGTTACATTTATGGTGAAGGTCGAAATAGTAGTGAAAGTGAGAGTTCCAAAATAAGAACTAGCACGGATGGAATGTCAAGACACGATATCTTTGGATCCCATTGAAACAAAATAAAAGCTCGAATTATTTCTTTTGAAAATTTAGACAAGGGGAATAAAATGAATTTTGTGCCCCTTTTTACATTACATATATATAATTCAACGACAGCAAATACCGACATAGACTCTTGCATCTTTCCGCACCTTTACAAGATCTCTAGTTTTAATAAGAATCTTTGTTGTCGTAACGAACATTTTGGGAATTTTTAAGTAAATCTCTATTAAGTTTTATTTAAAGAAAATTAGAAGGCAAAGATATAATAAATAAAATAATATAAAAGAGGATTAAATTTTATTTAATAAGTGATTTTGACATGTCCAAAATGATTTTTGTCGTTGTCAAAAGTACTTCCATTTGAAAAGTTAGGCCCCGATTGCTTATTTGGGCGTTTTGGACTCTAATACCATATCAATATTCATGGGGTTCCATCTCAAAACCAATTGGCTATGAGAGGAGTAGCCTATCTCTATTATAAACATTGTAAGGTCCATTTTCTTTTCAATGTGGGATCCTCAACACTTATGGATCCTTTCAAATAACATAAGCTCTATCACAGGAACCTCGAAGTTGCAAGTACTACAAACCTGTACGAATGTATATAATTGAAATGAAACATAATTAAGCTTATAACATATGCATGAATTTAATCAGTTCCCACTCAACCGAGCCCATGGTGCAAAGAAATCTATCTTATGCCAAAATAATTACGATATTTAAGTGAGACTACATACATTTAGTTGCACATAAGCCCTCAACCTTTTAGCTGAATTAACAACTTTCCTGAAGAGATTGGAACATCCACCTTTCACAACCGTTTGAATATAATCTGTGGACGCACAAAAAATAATCACATGCCAATTATTCATATAATCCCTAGGAGTTGAATTAGCGGAAGATCCACTTCCATTGATAAATTTGGACAATTAAACTTGATCTAAGCACTAGCCTTCAGGTACGCAGTGTAGAAAACAGATGTGTTTTAGCGACTATAATTGCAGTATTTAAATCCATTACACGTGAACCTACAACCTGAAGAGAGACAACAGGCCTTCCTTTTTTATAGTTGGTGTCTCGTTATGCTCATAGGTCCATCCTACTAATTTTTCATCTTCCTAGTTTCGAAATATCCATTTAGTTCCTATACTTCGACTTTTTGTCCATTGTAGTTTACTTCTAAAAAGTGATCATTTTATCCCCTCATATTGTTTTTCTCATTTTTTCAATCACAATTTCAGCTCAACACTAATTTCTTAAACTATAGCTATAAATTTTGTATTAAAGAATGTGTATGGAATTAATTGGTACATGGACCAAACCTGTTTATGCAAGGATGTGCACAACAGCATATTTCAGATTGCAGCTCGAACTCGACCTGCGGACCGACCTGAACACTTGAGCGGACCTGCACAAAAAGGTGAGAACTCCGACGATCAAGTCAGTATAGGTCGGATTCCCAGTTTAGTTCGAGGCTCGAAATCATCGTACCTGATCGTGGAGTGAAGTCCTCTACTTATGGGTGGTAGTCCCGCTAATCTCGCAACGGTTATACTCGGTAATCTCGGGATCGTCGGTTACGCTCGGTAATCTCGGGACCGACGATTATGCCCGATAATCACGCCGCTGATAGTAATTCACATCAGCCCCCACCGAGCTTCCCGGTAGGTCGGACCTGGGCCAGGTTCACCTCGGCCCTCATACTTAGCATCTATCAACGCTAGTAGTGGTGATCTCGGCCGTCCGAGCTGGGCATGACTCATGAGTCATCTTAGAGCACCAATAGAGGTCCTCCACGTGTCCAGGGTATTCTCTTCCCCAAACATTGGCCCCCTCTCTGTCTGGTCCGATCTCGACCTGGCAGAGAAGTTCATTCGATTTG